GATTGTAAGTGACTGAAACAGATTTGAAGAAGGGCAAGGCTTAAAAACAGTAAGCTGGAGAAGAATGTTATTTGAACAAAATTAAAAGTAAATTTTAGTGTATCTGCTTTAAGATGACTAGTGGATAAATGTTCTTGTTTAATGACGAACCAACATAAAATAATACACAGAAAGTAATACACGCTGATATCAGGTGTGTATTGTGTGTATCACACTGGTATCAGATTAAAATCAATGGTCTTCTGGTTTGAATGTGGTTGCTCTTTGGGAGTCAGTTTAAGAGACTCAGTGTACAGAAAAAGTTACATGGGCAATTGCATTACAATGCTCAATAAAGATAAGGTATGAAACTAAGTGAAGCAAATGCCAGGATAGGTACTGGATAAATTTTTACTGCTGGAAAAATACCATAGGAGATTTTTTTAAATTTCAGATGAAATCTTGAATTCTTATTTCTGGCTTTTTTTTCTTTAATAAAAGGACTACAGAACAGCAGCAAAGATTTCATGAGATTTGCAGCAATTTGGTAAAATCTCGTCGCCGAATTGTTGGCTGGTGGAAACGTCTCTTCACACTGAAGGAAGAGAAGCCTAAAATGGTACTGAGTTCCAGGAGCTCATCTCTCTTGTCTTAAGATTTTTTGTTTTGTTTTGTCTTAAGTATTTTAGCAAGGCACATGTCTGAATAAACTGGTATTTCAAACCAAGAACCAGCAGTTCTGGCTGTGACTTAATGCCAGTCACACATCTTTCTCAAACCTGGAGTGGCAAGATACATGACTTTAAACTTGCAATACTGTGCAATTAGGAGCACACCCTTGATATTAAGGTAAAGCTAAACGGGGTTTCTTTGGATAGGTCAACTTTTTGGAAACACGGCTTGTTTCCAGTGTACATGAGCTGTCCAAAGAACTAGATCTTAGTAACGTGTCAGCTCAGGTACATGAACTACTGAGTTTACTGTCCTGAAAACAGCTTCAGGTACTGCGTGAGGCTGAAGTTCTGTCAGTGGGGATGGTGTAGTCTGACTCTAAGGGATATCTGGACAGAAAAGAACTGCCATCCTGTAAAACTGATGGTCAAAATAAATGAGAACATATAATTGTAGACTCTGCAATCTCACTTTTAACAAGCCTGTGCATAGGTATCGCATGTGGTAGAGCCAGCAGACTTCAAGTTAGTTTTAAATGTTGAAGTGTTGCTTGGTACTGAAGGGAAGGGGGAGAAGTCCCAACGGATCTGTGACAACTGTTCGCTTTTCATTTTTTAGTACTTCATGACCATGCTTTTTTCCCTTGCTGTGGTTGCCTGGATTGGACAGCAAGTTCACAATCTCTTTCTGACCTATCTTATTGGTAAGTGTGCAGCATGCAAAACAAGTAACTTTTTTGTTAGCTGCCTAAAATGGCATGAGGCGGGTAGAAGTAAGTTTTCATTATTTGAATGTGGTGATTTTTTTTGTCGCAGGGTTTTGTCTGTTTTCAAGCAATTAATGGGGCTTAAGGGAAGCAAGGGATTGCGAAGTGACAGAAGCTTGTTAAAGGAGTGTTAAGTAATTCCCTTTTTTTTTCCCCTCCTCTGTAGTAAGTTTCTTGCTGCTGTTTCCTGGACTAAACCAGCACGGGATCATTACAAAGTATGTTGGAATGGCGAAAAGGGAGATAAACAAACTCCTCAAGCACAAGGAAAAGAAAAATGAATGAAGGATTAACTGCTGTCACTCTTGTAAAGGGTTTTCTTGGGAACAGTTTTGAGATTTAACATACAATTAAGATGACAGAAGTTGTATTGCTCACTGGCTTTTTTTTTATTGGCTCCCTGATGAAGTGAAAATGTCACTCTAGCAACTGCTGTGGGCTTGTGTGTCTCTTGCTGTGCTGACTAGGGTTCTGCAGCCTGCAGCTGATCTTATAGGAAAGATCCTGACCTTTGATGTATGGAGCTTAAGTGTCTTCACCAAACTAAGAGGCCCTGTGAATAAATACCCCAACTCAAGAAACAGCAGAATTGTAATGTGTGGTAGCATTTCTGTAACTGTGCTCGTTTCACTGATCATTAATTTGTGGCTACAAGAAGTATGAAAGGCAGTTCTGAAAGCTTGCACTTCTTGGAGGCTTGTTACTACTGATCCGGGTGGAAGGAGGACAATTAGCTGAATAGGAATGATCACAGCTGAGGGTGCGGACCCAAAATGGCTGCAGAAGGTGAGCCCATTGTCTCACTGAATCTGTTTGCTTTCTTTGGCTGCGTATACCAGATTATCTGTTGAATAGGGGTCTGGAATAGATAAACTTGTAGTTCAGTTACCTAGCTGTAGTGTAAACTTCAACTCATTGCACTGAGACTGTAGAAAATGAGTTAAGGTGTGTGTTACCTGAACAGCCGATTGTTCTAAAAACTGCTGTTGTCATGGAGCCATGTAGCACGTTTGGTTTTATGAATGCTGTTGTCTGTATACAAAATCACCTTGAATATGCTAGGTTTGTCTCTGTAAATAAGCCTGAATTGTTTGTGCTTTTCTATGACCTCTCCTTCCTTTTTTTAAAGCTGAACTTTTTTCTTTAAAAAGCTAAAACCTGTGTTAATGCATTTTAAAAGTTTACTGTTTTAATATGAACTCTCTCCAGTGTCTATTGTAACTGTCAAATAGGTAAATACAGATTAAAGAGAACCTTCTGTAAGCCTTGCTCTTTGTGCACATACAGAAAATTGTGGAAATGTCTTTCAGTCAAGAACTGGAGCTGGGAGTGGTGTTTCAGTGCCGGTGGTAGCCGGCGCACAGCGTCCTAGCAGAAAACCACCTTTTGTTTGAAATAGCTCACTGCCGATAGTAAAGCTTTTGTCAGCTGTGACTACACTACACAGCTCCTGCTGCCGAGGGGAAAGGCTGTCAGTGTCATCTGTGGCTGGTGAACACTGGGAACAGTGACTGAGGCGGTGGGCGAGTGGGACCCGGTCAGTGACACTGGGCGTAGGGCCGAACTGTGGGGAGATGCTACAGCGCGATCTTCAAACCGTTCTTTGGAGAGTGCCCTGCTGACCTGGCACAGGCTGTTGCTGGAAGAGATGCGGGGTGTAAAAAAGACAAGCGGTGACGCTGCACGGTGTGGCTGAGCTGTCGTTGCTGAGGTGTCTTTGGGGGAGTGGGTGGCAGCCCCTCTGCCCCCGCGTTGACGCCGGTGCGTTTGCTGTCGCGGTCCTGAGAGCTCCCCTCACCCTTTTAAGGTAAAATTCGGTAGAAACACAACCCGTCTGCTTGGTGCAGCTTTGTTCACCTCACACCTCACGTAGCCCCTCACAACGCGGAGTAGCTACACCCTCCTGCGGTGTGCGCGGCCCCGTTGAAGCTTCAGTGGAAACCAAATACAGGAGGAACTCCTCTGTTGTCTTACGTCTTGTTGAAACAAAATTAAAAATAGGAGTAAAAAAAACCTCACCGAAACGCAGAACCGCCGTTACCGCCGCTGTCCCGTTGTTGTTGGTTCGGGGTGGGTGGGGCGGTTGGGGG